CACTATCTAAAGATTTGCATCGAAGCGTTTATTTTTGATAGTGATTTTAATCACTGTCAGATATCATTATACTTGATCCAACTATACCACGTCACAACTGTGCCGCGACCCCCCTGTGCTGGGTTATTTTTTTTTTTTTTATTGGTAGAGATATTTTCCACAATATACCATCCCGCGGCTCGTATAGGTCTTAATCCGGTCCTGGAAAAAAGTTTTACTTCAAAATGGTTATAATGCTTACAGAAATTTATAATTTTTAATAGTGTAGTGAACGTTATTGTAAACAATAATAAATTCTTATTAATATTCGTTGCCAAGTTGCTTATACACATTTTATAATGATACATAAGCTAAATTAAAACTATATTAAATATATTATTAATTCAAAACTAAAAATATTTGACTTAAAAAACTACAAACAAATTGCTAAAAATCGCTAAAAAAAAAACTAAGTAAAATCGTAACTTTTTTTGGCTTTTTGAGTTTAATATTTTTTAGTTTAAAATTAATAATATTTTTAATATAGTTTTAATTTTGAGCAATTAGTCACAAGTGATCAATTTTTATTAAATAAATAAGCATACTCAACCCTTAAAATTCGCAATTTTATGAAATATTACATAGGCCAATTATTTACAATTGTATTAAAATATACTATTGTATTTTTAATTATATGGGCGCATTAATTTTATAAGGGTTAACTTATATGACAGAAGTATAACAATATTGTGAATACTTATACCATGATCATATTTTGATACGAAACACAAAGAGATCTTCTCTTATAAGTTACCCTTGTATATTATTGGATTAGGATTAATACTAAAAAAATGTTATTATTAACACTTAATTTTAATATTTAATATTAATATTCACCGAGTATTAATTATTGTTAGTATCAAACTAATTATTTGTTGAAATGAAAAAATACAAATCCGCTTTTAATCATCAGAAATATAAAACTGTACAAATAAACGTTTAATTCATCAATTAGGTAAAATGATTTAAGTTATATAAATAAAGAAGAAATGTGCTAACAATAGCTTAAAAATATCATAAAATTCTATGGAATATAGCTCGTTTTTGACAAGGTTTCACCAATATTAAGTGTTAATACAAATAGCTCTTTTTGCAAAGTTCTCAAATTTCGTATTATCGTTAGAACATATTTCAAAATCTTAAACAATTATTTCATTACTCTATTATTTGTTTTTAAAACTTCTGGAGGATCGACCACGTCTTCATACAATAAACAGTTGTTAAAAGACGTTTATCAATAAATCTCTTATAAATTATTAAGCTATTGTTATTAGTTTATTCACCCACTGAGCTATTGTAAGGCTATTATTATAAATAAAAAACTGAAGGTCGTGCGGTAACATTAATTATACTATCACGTCGATAATATGAGAAAGGTAATTTATATGACATAAAACTTCATTTTACACTAGCCGTTTATAGCAAAAGTATTAGAGTAGTAGTTTAAATTTATAAAAAGTTTGTCTAGTTTAATAGAACCATAGTTGAATAAAATTCAATTTAGATTTATTTTATTGTAATATGATTTGCGTTTAATAGGTCCATCAAACTGTTAAATAATTGTTATTAAAATAGTTATTTTCATTGTTAAACATTCACAAAATTATTTTGTGCTTAAGTTTACAGTTTTGTCAGTATAAAGTGAACAATTATTTATGGATTCATCATTAAAAATAATAATACAATGATTCAAATAAATTTTTTTATTTTAAATAAATTTCCTGATTTTGTGTAATATAATTTACCTATCTGGTAGCTGAATCAATAGCTGAAAAGCTATTGGTTATACTAAGTTGTATATTTTTGTGTCACAATACACCATTGCTCAACTCCAACAGGACCGATTTCGCTCAATTATAAGATCAGAAAACGTATCCAGTTGTAACTATCAAATTTCGACAATTACTATCAATACCAATATTAATGGAAAATGTTTCGAAAAAGTACAGTTTTTTAAAACAGCCAATATTAATATTATATATTCAAACTATTCAAAGTGTTGATTTATAGGAGATATCAGTTAAGCATCAATTCTTCTTTGCTGGATCTCTTCTGTATTTTACATAATTTTTTGTTTTTAATAAGTTTTGTATTTGGGATATACAAATGTTTGCAGTAGGAGGTGAATTAATACACTTGAAAGATAAATAAATGAGGTAGGTATTTAATAAACAACCCGACCGAAAGTTGGGATCTTTACATGATTTAAAGTTTCTGTTCTTACAAAGTAAAGGATACAGTCAACATATTGTACCATATAATAAACCAAGTAATTTCAGATCAAAGTTACACTGTAATTCTCCTTTAACTAATAATATTAAAATTTTCTCACTTTCATTTCTAAATAATAAAACATTTTCTCTTTGATTATTCAAAAATTTTCCTAAAATGATTATTGTTAACAATTATCTAATTAGAGTAAAATAAATCTACAAGTATTAGTGCATAAGGATACTGATATTGATTACAAAAGACTTTTAAGTTTTACAATTTTATTTTTTAATTTTACCATACAATTAAATACTAAAATATCACATAATTATTTTATAAAATTTTCATAACTATTTATTTGAATAATACGTTTTTGTTATCACATCGGGTTCTGAACATTTGCAATAGATTTATTTTTACTGACGATGTCATAGATGGTAAGTAGGAAATGTGAAAATAATTTTTATAATAAATAAAATTCTGTATTTGAGAATTAGTATTGTTTTTTGGTATCTATATATTTTTGAAACATTTGTTTCAATGTGTTACGATTTAGAAATGTTGTTGTAATAAATTGGATTCCAAGGAATTGAATAGAAATGATAAACTATTATCTTTATAATAAAGATGGCTAACAAAAATAATCTTTGGATTGGACCCTCGTCGTATTATTTTGTCTTATGTCTCTTTTTATAGGTGATGTTCGTGACAGTAAAACCCTGTTGAAATAAAGATTGACGCCATAGCCAACAACTTTGAAAAGATCTTTCACGCCGAGTTCCATAGTTATATAAATATTTTAGAGCCGTTTCTTTATTGTGTGTTCTCAACTACTCACTTTGGAAACACATCATGTGTGTATGCGCAACGATTCCAATACAATTTTCGATGCAATTCTTGAAGAGAATGCAAACTTTTATTCTTTTCTACAAAGTCTCTTGTCAGTATCAGGATCGATCTTCCCCCGTACGCTCTCTGGTCGTCATGACCCAAAGTAACCGCCGCCGCTGACACCGCGACGGTTTACTGTCAGCCGCTCCCCTTTGGAGTCTGCAGTAGAGTACACTGGTGATGTCGGCTAAGGGTACGCGCAGCCACCGGGGCACGAATTCATACGTCACCACTGCCGCCACCACCTCAGGTTTTCATCCGATTCATGTGCCGGGTGGCAACCGTGCGATTTAGCCGCGTGTTCATCTGTCGGTCCGGTCGCGGTACTTGTCTCGATCGTCGTCGTCTCCTCCACAGTCAACACAAATATCATTGAACAAGTACGTACCTGACGTTATAATTAAAAATCATTTTCGTTCAATTAATGTATATTTTTAATTGAATCATTTTTCAAGACTAAATAATTTTATCGGAATTGAAAATTTTTTAATGAATAGTCATTAAAAATATTGGATCTCAATGCCTCCACAGTTGTACATTTTTTTGTGGTTCAATTTTATTTATTATGAATTGATTTTTACACGATGAATTGATTTTTATTTAAATTTCTTTATGGGAGTATTTGAACATGGCTTATAAAAATTTCATGTCAACTATAGGTTTACATATTTATCAGGCAGAGATTACGAATCTTATACTTTTAACATTATTATATTTATTATTAGAATGGTTAAATATCAAAGTATATTCAAATCAATTTTCGTGAATATTTTAATTTTAAGTCAGTAATGAGTCATATTTTTCATATTCAACAGAGTATTACAAATATCATGAAATGATTTTTGATTGAACTATCATCTATAAATACGTAAAAAAATTGTAACCCTTCAGTAATTTAAGGATAGTTTTTTGAAGTAAGATTTGGTCGTCTTATTCCGATTTATTAACTTTGTTAATTGATTGCTACGAGGCATAATTGTTTGTTAAATGTAGTGAAGTAATGGTTTATTGATAGTCAAAGCGTGTTATGATCGCAATGAGATTGTATTTCATTGCTCAAGTCAAATAAAAAAATTAATTAAAAAAAAATTACTTTTACGTTGGTGTTTTTATTACCAAACCAGCAATCCAATCTGATATGGAACTCAAGTTTTGGAATTGAAAAATTGATTTTGAAGAAATAGTGAAATCTAATGCTGTGTTTTGATAAAATTTGAACAAGACCAAGTTAAAAGTACACTGAATGAAATTTATCCGCTAAGTAAACATGTAAAACCCAATGGGCTCAATTAATATTTTGTAATTCAAACCATAATAGTATTACAATAAAAAGTGGAACAGATTTATTTTTCAATTAAACGCTGAACATGTGTATCAATTTAGCGTTTATAATTTATTTATTTTTTATTTACATACTGTGGTCAATATTAAAATTAATAATATTCAATTATTTAAGCTTGTTCTAAGAATTTTTACCTAAATACATTTTTAGCTTCGATGCGAAGCTGAGAAGGTATTGGTTTTACTATGATGTGTTTTTTTTTTTTTTTTTTTTTTTTTTTTTTTTTTTTTTT